CTCAGTTCTGTTAATTGTTAAAAATGATTTCACAATAAATAGAAAGGCGTATGATCGTTAGAATCAATTTAAGGTCACAATCGAAGTGTAATCATTATTATTACGCACTAAGTACTGCGATAACTCCTATTTCCCCTGACATTTTTCTTAAATTTGTCAAAAAAATTATATTGATGCTTGAATTCTCGCTGTTTTTTGCTACAAAAACTCATGTTTATTTCATTAAAACCAGCACCTGATATTTTATTCATATTATCCATTGAAAGTTATAACCTTGTCTCACTTTTCGGATAAAAAATGGATTCTGCGGTAAAAAAAATTCTTTTGAGGCGATCCAGTCATCAAGTCATTTTTTGATATCTTCGAAATAACTAAAGTATCAGAAAGGTGCTCAGAAAGGTACCATGTTGCATCGATCGAAACAAATGGTAATGAAGGAGCAATGTCTAGCGAATAGGGTACATGCTGCAAGTAGACATAAGATGCATTCGGGAAGATACTATTCGTGCTATGGACGCAAACGCTGTTCGTGGAGCCAATAGCACGATAGCATTAGCAAATTTCATGAATGACCCTAGTGTTGGTAGCGTTTAACCTGAGAGACTTAACGTTCGTGGAAGTTAAGTTAATATAGGAGATTCTGTTTTCAACACAATCAATTAAACTTTTCTCTGTAATTTAAATGTTTATAGTTTTATAAAGTATATATAACGTAAATTTTTAATTTTCTCATAGTGAATAACAAAACACAATCTGAATTGCAATCTCTATGATGGTTTCCCGCCATCAGACTCTAGACAGTTTTTCTCCATTTCTGTCTAGGCCCATTCAGGCAAGTCCGATTAAGCCCTGCACAGAGATATAACGTTCGTGCAAGTCAGAGCCCGATCAGAGCCCGATTTGTAAATCTGATTAGACCCTAGATGGATACGCCTAACTTATTGGCCTTGTCTGGACACTCCTAATTAGATCCTGCCTAGATACACCTAACTAGGCCCTGTATAGACACGTTTAGACTCTTTCATGGAACGCCTCACTAGGTCCTATCTTGAATGTCTAATTAAGTTCTGTATTATTACACTTAACAATAAGACGCTACATTAGATTGTCCGACTAGGCTTTATAATAAATGCAATCTTTTGTTAGGATGTGTGCTTATCAAAAATGTTCTAATTCTGACTTTAGACTGAAATATCACAATTGTATACTGTCTAAAAAAATAATATATATGACGTAAATAAATAATGTATATTTACTTATCTATATATATATATATATATATTATTTATTTATTTATTTATTTATTTACTTTTTTAATTTTTTTAATTTTTATGATATATTTCAAAATAAAGCCTGATTTACAATGCACTCTTGATAAGCACAT